TGAGATATCCTAATTCTAGAAAATCCTCCCTTGAATTATATTATTCAAATAAGTTGCATCTTATTCTGAAACCTTTTTAAAATGCAAGCCTTTGCAAAAGAAAATCAATGAGAAAATAAACAAGTCATTCACAACGTGAATTCAGACGCTTATGCTTGAAACAGATGACATGCATAATTTTATTGTAAAATAAACCTGAAAAACTAGAAAATGTAACAAAGAGTTTAAAATCCTCTATCTAGATATATATTTTTAAGCAATATAGTGCTTAAAAATATGAAGAAATGCTGCAGGTCACCTTTCACTCCTTATACGAAATGCATAGTTTTCGATGTCACAGACAAAATTTGCATATTCTTAACTTTGTAAACATTATAATTTTCTTTTTTAAACTTATTAAATTTAAATTTTCTTTTTTAACTATTTAATATTTGTTAAAAAAGTTGTGGATTAAATGGTATTTCATACCGAACTCATAATATCCTCTAATTGTTTTGAACAATATGTTTGATGCTATTTTAGAATTATAAGTGGCACATTAAAAAAATTTTCAGTTATTTGTTTTACAAATAAAATCCAATAAACAATTTATCTATAAAGAATATTGGGAATATTTACTAGTCCATTTTGTTATGATTTATTGCATACAGAATAATTTAATACTACTAGGCAAAGTACAGTTTATAATTAAGAAAATATATCTGCATTTAAAAACAAGTTGTTCGTGAAACCATTCTCACGTGAATTCAATTTTCTATGACGTGTATTCAATATTTTAAATAAATAGAAAACATTTCACGTTCTCATAAGTCTTTAAATAAATGGAAATACTTAACATTTCTATGCTGTGTCATTTATTTGTATAATATTATGATTTTATTATTTACGTACCCTTATTATTATTTATTTTTGCATAAATTCTTGATGTGGGAGTATTTGCGACAAAAGTGTTATACGAAAACTCAATAAACAGAACGTCTAATACCATTATGTTATTTATATAGGTACCTAGATTTTTGGCAATAATTGAACGCAAAGGGATCCCTGTTTACAAGATATTTATTTCATTCCAATTTTAAAGTGAATTGTTAAAACCATAGATATCTTTAGGCTATTGTGTATGGGAAAACAATTCCAATAAGTTGTTTCAAATTCTTGGTGCATAAGAGAAATGCGATACGATCGCTTCTCTCTTATCCCAGTAGATTCCACCTGATTAAAAGATTGACGCTTTTCTTACGGCACTTCTTGAAGAAAGAAAAAAGAAAAGAAAAAGACAGAAAAAGCCAAAGAAATAGAAAGCAGAAACTGTTTTTCGCTCGTTTGAAAAGCCGAGCGCTACTACTCAGCCTTTTTTATTGGTCTGGTGCTAAACGATTGCTGATTGGCCCGAAACGGTACAAACGATACGGAAAGAATCGTCTGCTGGGGTTTTCCGGTCCCCGCCACTCTTTTTTTATATTTGCTGTTGCCAGATCGAATGCTCGAATTTGAAAGAGCGGAACTAAATAAATTTGATATAAACTGAGTTGCACTTCACTTAGCTTCAGTAACTCTTCTGCTAGCTACTTGGAAGTTGCCATCCAACAAATTCTCCACCCCTTCCCTCTTCCCATTACGTCACTATTTCACCAATGAAGCACACGGTTGGATTCCTTTCCTGAACTAAAAGAATCGGGGTAAAGTGCAATGTAATTGCAAAAGAAATATCGAGAGTGCCTTGTAAAAGAACATAGTTAGAACGTACTCTAACCATTAACTAGTTGCACTGTAAAAAAGATTCTTGATGAACTGAGTGCGCCATCATTTGAAGTTGGGGTTAAAAAAATTTGGGTATTTTAAACGAATGAGATAAAAGCACTTCAATGAAACCTTGCGGTGTATTTTTTTACACACCATTTTTAACAACTATGTAAGTGAAGTGGTATAGCTAAAAAAAACAGAAGATATAAAATTCAAGTTTCTGAACTGTAATATTTTGTGACTGTTTATTAAAAGAAAAAGTCTCGTAAAATCGTTGCTAATTAGATATTGAGTTGTGTTTTGTGACATTTTCCTTTCAATGTTAACATATTTGAATGCTTTTTTTTTATTTTTATCCAAAGACAGTATTTTGACTTGAATCATTTATCTTAATATTTCTGAATAAAAACTGTTTTTAAAATTTTGTGCTTTAATGCTTTTAAAATATCGTCAATAAAAGATAATCAAGTATACAATAAAATCATTACAATGCCAAAAAATTAGAATGGATGGAAAAAAACAGTTTTTACAAAAGTTAATATATCTCGTTGTGAGATTCTTTGCTCATGTCACTTCTACTTACTATATTTAACATTATGATTGAAGTACTGGGTGCGCAGAAGATCTACCTCCCCATGGTGCATCTGGTAAAACTTTTTAGTGTCTAAAAGATCTGCAAATTAGCATTATTGTTAGATTAATGAACTCTGTTTCAGCATGTTTTGTTGTATTTGTTGTGGTTGTAGATTTTTTTCGTTGTTCTTTTTTTTTTTTTTTTTTGCTGTAACTGTTCATAATCTGCCAATGGAAATAAAAAAAAATGATTAAAGTACTTCATGAATAAAGTGCAAATGAAAACAATGGGTTTATTTTCAGTCTTGAAAGTAAACAAATTGGAAACATATAAATAAAGAGAATCCGAATTATGTGCGATTGTCATTAGTATAGAGTTTAAATATATGTAAAAGGCATACGGAAATAGCAATTTCCCATACTCGAAAGAATGGTATTTATTAACTCGTAAAAAATTTATTGTTGTTTCAAGAAAGATCGAAGATCTTGAAGGATGGCAGGGGAAGGATTAAGTGCCTCTTTACGTCTCCCTAGAGCATCCCAAACATGCTGAATGAACTTTGAGTCCAAAATTCATGTTGCTCAGCTTATACGCACAACACTAATAATTTTCAAATAAAAATACACTGTACGTATGTCATTAACAAATTGAATTCAGACACTTATCTTTGAAATAGATGACATGCATAATTTTACTGTGAAAAAACCTGCAAAAATAGGAAAATGAATAAAAATGTGTTTAAAGTCCTCTATCTAGATGCATATTTTCAAGCAATATACTGATTAAAAAATTATCATTATAAATGAAACATTAAAAAGTTTTCAGATATTTTTTTTTAAATAAATAAAATCCAATCAACAATTTAACTGTTAAGAATAATGTACATATTTATTTGTCAATTTTGTTATGGTATACTGCATACAAAACAATTTAATACTACTAAGCAAAGTACTGTTCATTGTTAAGTAAATACATCTGCATTTAAAAATAAGCTATTTGCAAAACAATTCTCATGTGCATATATGAAAAAAATATATCCTTTTCTATGACTTTTACTCAATATTTTAAATAAATTGAACGCTGAGTCATTTATTTGTATGCTATTCAGATTTTATTATTTACGTACCCCTATTATTATTTATTTTTGTTTTCGCATAAATTCTTGATGTGCAGGTATTTGTGACTTAAGTGTTATACGAAACTCAGTAAATAGAACGTCAGATACCATTATGCTGTTTATATAGGTACGTAGTTTTCGGCAATAATTAAACGAAAAGGGATCTCCGTTTACAAGAATACATTCCAATTTTAAAGTGAGTTGTTAATACCATAGATATCGTTAGGCTATTGTGTATGGGAAAACAATTCCAATAAGTTGTTTGAAACTCTTGGAGCATAAGGGAAATGCGATACGATCGCTTCTCTCTTATCCCAGTAGATTCCACCTGATTAAAAGCTTGACGCTTTTCTTACGGCACTTCTTGAAGAAAGAAAAAGAAAAGAAAAGAAAAAAAAGGGGGATAAAAAAGCCAAAGAAACAGAAAGCAGAAACTGTTTTCCGCTCGTTTGAAAAGCCGAGAGCTACTACTCAGCCTTTTTTATTGTTCTGGTGCTAAACGATTGCTGATTGGCCCGAAACGGAACAAACGATACGGAAAGAATCGTCTGCTGGGGTTTTCCGGTCCCCGCCACTCTTTTTTAATGTTTGCTGTTGCCAGATCGAATGCTCGAATTTGAAAGAGCGGAACTAAATATTAGAAGTTACCACCCAACAAATTCTGCACCACCCCCTCCCCCTTCTTCCCATTACGTCACTATTTCACCAATGAAGCACACGGTTGGATCCCTTTCCTGAACTAAAAAGAAATGGGGTAAAGTGGAATGTAATTGCAAAAGAAATATCGAGAGTGCCTTGTAAAAGAACATAATACTCTAACCATTAACTAGTTGCGCTGTAAAAAAGATTCTTGATGAACTGAGTGCGCCATCATTTGAAGTCGGGGTAAAAAAATTGAGAATTTAAAACAAATGAGATAAAATCACTTCAATGAGAGCTTGTGGCGTACTTTTGTTTACACATCATTTTTAACCATGATGGAAGTGAAGTGTCATAGCTCAAAAAACAGAAGATGTAAAATTCAAATTTCTGAACTGTAATATTTTGTGACTGTTTATTTATTAAAAGAAAAAGTCTCGTAACAATCGTTGCTAATTAGATATTGAGTTGCGTTTTGTGACATTTTCCTTTCAATGTTAACATACTTGAATGCCTTTTTTTTAAAAACTCCAAATACACTATTTTGACTTTAAACATTTACCTTAATATTTCTCAATAAAAATTTTTTTAATTTTGCGCTTTAATGCTTTTAACAATATCATAAATAAAAGATAATCAAATGTACCTTAAAATCATAACAATGCAAAAAAAAAAAAAAAACTAGAATATATAGAAGTAAACTGTCTTGGCAATACTAGAAACATAACAAATATTAATATTATTCATAATTTACATTTATAAGTAACGGATCATTTTATTCGGTGCTGGTTTAAATTATTACGGACCTATGAACCTGTATGTCAATCACAACTTATAAAATTAAGGAACAAAACATTTTATTTTCCTCTATTTATTTTATTCTCCTCTATTTCCTCTTATAGTTAAACAAATATAAATGCGCATAGATATATACCGGTTCTCGTTAGATCACCGAAGTCAAGCATCATTGGGCGCGGTCAGTACTTGGGTGGGTGACCACCTGGGAACACCGCGTGAAATTGGCAAATTTGGGACCTGAATGGCCGAGTGTCTAGCGCTCTGGCACTCGGTGCCACAGGTTTCGGGTTCGAATCTCGGTGGTGCCATGAATGTTTGTAGTGGTTCGGAATCCACTTTAAGCCGTAGGTCCCGGTCTCCTATGACTGTAAGAGCGTCACGAAGCCAAAGTCAGGCTTCTACCTACGGGTGCTCCATCACAACAGAAGCTGCTACCCTCCCTTTCAATCATGAGTACGTATGGACTCGTGGGCTTGGCCAGTCAAGTGGGATAAGAAACAACAACAACAACAAAACATATATATAGAAAGTATGCGCATATTATTATATAGAAAGTATGCGTATTATGCGCATACTTTCTATGCTTCTTCTTCGTTTTATATCAATGCACATCAAATAATAATATAAATCTCTTCAAATCCAACTACGGAATCTTCATATGTCATTTAGTTTGATATATCCTAATTCCAGAAAATCATCCCTTGAAATTAATTATTCAAATAAGTTGCTTCTTATTTTGAAAGCTTTTTAAAATTCAATCCTTTGTAAAAGAAAATCAACGGAAAAATAAACAAGTCCTTCACAACTTGAATTGAGACTCTTATGTTTTGGAATCTATAACATGCATAATTTTATTGTAAAACAAATCAGAAAAAAATAGAAGATGCAAAAAAGAGTTTGAAATCCGCTATTTGTTGTTGTTATACTTGTCGTATCCACCATGGAAGGAGGGAAGAGGGATGCAGCTTCTGTTCTGATGGAGCACCCGTAGGTAGAAGTCTGACTTCTGATCCGGGACGCTCTTACAGTCATAGGAGACCGGGACCGACGGCTTAAAGTGCATTCCGAACCACTACAAACATCCATGAAAACGCCGGTACTCGAACCCGAAACCTGTGGACCGAGCTCCAACGCGCTAGACATTCGGCCATTTAGGGCCTAATAAGTTATTTAAATAGATATTTTTAAGCAATATAGTGCTTAAAAAAATTATCATTACAATTGACACATCTTTCAGATATTTTTTCTTAACAAATAAAATTCAATTAAAAATTTCACTATAAAGAATATTGTACATTTTTACTGGTAAATATTGTTATGGTTTATTGAATGCAAAATAATTGAATACTACTAAGTAAAGTACTGTTCATATTTAAGTAAATACACCGGAATTTAAAAACAAGTTATTTGCAAAATAATTCTCACGTGCATATATGAAAGAAAAATTCAATTTTCTATTAATTTATTCAATATCTTAAATAAATAGACAACATTTTACGTTTTCATAAGCCTTTAAGTACATAAAATCAAATGCTTAACTTTTCATGATGTGTTATTTATTTGTATGCTAGTATGAGTTTATTATTGATGTACCCATATTATTATTTATTTCTGCATAAAAAGTTGATGGGGAGGTATTTGTGACTTAAGTGTTATACGAAAACTCAATAAACAGGACGACTAATAGCATTATGTTATTTGTATAGCTACGGAGTTTTTGGCAATAATTGAACGCAAAGGGATCTTCGTAAACAAGATATTTATTTCATTCAAAATTTAAAGTGAATTGTTAAGACCACAGATATCTTTAGACTATTGTGCATGTGAAAACAATTAAAATCTCTCTTATCCCAGTAGATTCCACCTGATTAAAAGCTTGACGCTTTTCTTACGGCACTTCTTGAACAAAGAAAAAGAAAGAAAAAGCCAAAGAAACAGAAAGCAGAAACTGTTTTACGCTCGTTTGAAAAGCCGAGCTACTACTCAGCCTTTTTTATAGGTCTGGTGCTAAACGATTGCTTATTGGCCCGAAACGGAACAAACGATACGGAAAGAATCGTCTGCTGGGGTTTTCCGGTCCCCCCTCTTTTTTATGTTTGCTGTTGCCAGATTGAATGCTGGAATTTGAAAGAGCGGAACTAAATATTAGAAGTTGCCACCCAACAAATGCTGCACCACCCCCTCCCCCTTCTTCCCATCACGTCATTATTTTACCAATGAATTACACTGTTGGATCCCTTTCTGAACATTAAAGAAACGGCGTAAAGTGCAATGTGATTGCAAAAGAAATATCGAGAGTGCCTTGTAAAAGAACATAATACTCTAACCATTAACTAGTTGCACTGTAAAAAAGATTCTTGATGAACTGAGTGCGCCATCATTTGAAGTTGGGGGCGGGGGGTAAAAAAATTCGAGTGTTTAAAACAAATGAGATAAAAGCACTTCAATGAAACCTTGTGGCGTATTTTTTTTACACATCACTTTAACCACGGTTTAAGTGAAGTGGCATAGCTGAAAAAACAGAAGATATGAAATTCAAATTTCTGAACTGTAATATTTTGTGACGGTTTGTTAAAAGAAAAAGACTCGTAAAAAACGGTAATTAGATATTGAGTTGCGTTTTGGGGCATTTTTCTTTCATTATTAGCGTACTTGAATGAGACTTGAACACAATATTTTAACTTGAATCATTTGCCTTAATATTTCTCAACAAAAACTTATTCTAACTTTTCTGCTTTATTGCTTTTAGAATATCATAAATAAAAAAATAATCAAGTGTATCTTAAAATAATTATAACGTCAAAAAACTAGAATACAAACTGTCATGTCATAAGTTGATATATCTCGTTATAAGATTCTTTGCTCATATCACTTCTATTTAGTACTTTATTTAATATTATAACTAAAGCATTTCATGAATAAAGTACTAAAGGAAAGAAAATAGTTTTTTTGAAAGTAATTAAAAATTTTTACTATTAAAAACTTTGTCTTGAAACTATAGAAAAGGAATGGAAACATAATGGAAACAAAATAGAAACATAATTAAAAAGAGTATCAATGTTTGATCATCATTACCGTAGTGTGCAATATATAATAAGCATACAGAGATAAGGATTAACTCAATTGACATCAATAATCATTGCTTTGCCAATGAAATTCGAAGATCTTGAAGGAGACAAGGGGAGGAGTAAGTGCATTTATAAGTCTCCCAAGAACATCCCTAGACTTTGGGTCCAAAAAACGCTGATCAGCCCATACGCGCAATACTATTCGAACTACAGAATAATATTCGAATATTGTTCGAATAGCCATTCGAACCTACTAACTCTTTTGAAGTGTTGTATCGAATTGCGAGGAGAATACATAAAAACTTAACATCAGATGTACAACACAACAAATCCTCCATATTATATGTATCTTGATGCCAATTGTCTACTGCTCTGGTCTTTGGTACCACAGGTTTAAGGTTCGAATCGGTGGCAGAGATGTTTCTAGTGGTTCGGAATCCAAGGCAAACTGTAGGTCCCGATCTAATTAGACCGTTCTAATTAATTAATAAGTGTGCACAAAATGACAGAAGAGCAACAACCTAACCGATTCATCCATTAGTATATTACTCATGGAATGTCCGTCCCGCTCTGCAGGATACTAAAAATGAATCGGACACATAATTTTGATCAGAAGATCATAATATTGTCTATCAAAACATCTAGTCTATTTTAATACTCGTGATCCAATGGATGCCTTCACACCATCTCCAGCATATCTTATGATGGCCTCTTGTATGAAATGGGAGAATTCAACAAGATCAAGCGATAAACCAAATCAAATCTATGTTATATGTCTGTATGTCATTATTTCCTGGAAATGTTTGAATACACTGTGTATAATTGTTTTTAATCCGCTCATTCATTATGTCATGTAAATGTCATACAGCCAATGCCAATAGACTATGTGGCGATTGTGACAAAGTTTATTTTTTGTTTTATTATATTTTATCCATTCCTAATACAGATAAGATACTTCTGAATGTCTTTTCAGAAAGAATTACTCCACAAAATAACGCCAAATCTGCTATAATTTCATTGTTTTGATGACGATTTACAAAAACAAAAATGCCCGACTTCCGGCGAAAATGCTTAAATTTTCCAATTTTTATTTTATGAATCTAAATGATGTTGGTTTGTTTTAGAAAATTAAATCTTGCAGTTTTCATTTAGCAAAATTGCTTTTTAAAAATCTAATAACGATGGGTTTTTATTACATTTTATATCTTTGCTTGAAACACATTTAAAAGTTAAAAATTATGCGATAAAAGGTCATTTATAAAGGTAAAAATTTTACTCCATTTGAATGAGAAAAGTATAAATTTCATCACTTTTTAATAACACGGAAATTATTTTATACATTACTTTGCAAAATTTCTTTCCATGCTTTAAATATATTGAAGAATTTAACTTTTCATGGTTAGTAAAGGAGAAATTTTTCCAAGGACAGTCGTAAGTCATAAATGAATTCCATTTTTTACCTCCGTCATAAAACTCGAGAATTTGCAAGAAAAATTTCTCTGGGCATTCTTCAAGCGAGCTTTATAAATGATGCGCTCAACTGAATTCTGAATAACTTGGGAAAAATGGCGCATTTTTCACGAAGCGTTTTTTACCCCGTTTCGCATTTACATTTTATTCTTTAATAACATTTAAATACAAACTGCGACATTTGTCACGGAATTTTCTTTCATAGACAGTGTCACTTTTAAAAATACTTTTTGACAAATACTATTCTTGGGGTTGTTATTATACAGAAAAACTAACATTAGTGATATATCCCGGAGAATAAATATAGAATTGCAGGCATAACTGTAATATTCATTCCTTTCTTATGCAGTTGAAATGGAGCGTTATATGCAATGTAATATGTAAAATATATTTAGAATTTGTTATTGATCTAGAGTAGCGTTAAATTCTTATGTTTTGAATTTTACTATAATAGTTAGGATATTTTTTAACATGAAACTGCATGCATTATAATATTTGAATTTTCTTCATTTGACATATTTAAAAATGGCACAAGAATTTATCTAAAAAATGCATCATGCTGTATAATAGCGAAACCCTCTATATATTCGTCACAAACTGTGTGGGTAAAATGTGTCTACAGTGTAGAATGCCTCCATACACATGTAATGTCTCGAAATATACTACATTTATAGAGATTT